AGTTAAACACATAAAAAAATTATTTTAAAATAGTAGCAACATCATATTAAAATATATATTTTCCATACAGTACTTTCTATGCTTGACCAACAAGGTTTTAATTCAAATAATACACAAATCGGTAGTTCATCATGAATGGAGTCAACACTTATGTCAAAAATAGACGACGTCAGGCTGCCTCCGCCTGCCCGCTGCCTGCCTGAGCCTGAGCCTGACCTCAGGGACAGGAGAAGGTCACCGGAGCTCTGCATTGCTAGCAGCAGCCCAGTCACAAGAAGCACGCACAATGTATTCTGAGTTCATTCAGGCTCGCGTGATGTGATTTACCTCGGTCTGGGACTCCGTCAAGAGCGGGACGACGGCTTCCGTCGTGCCCAGCCTGCTCATGCTGAGAACCTTCAATCAAAGACAAGCAATACAGATCAGTGAGGCGAGAGGACGGTAAGCCGGACAGCATGGAGCAGAGGAATGGTGGTGGTGGTGAGCGAACCTTCACTTGCAGCTAGAGAAATTTGGCGATTCGATGATCTCTTCAAGCACGGATGCCTTGTCGATCACTTGAGGATAAACATGAGTTTTAGAAAGCGATGTACTACTGGTCATTGTTCTTTGACAAGAAATAGTCGAAGAGGATGCAATCGAGTACCCTGTTGGATTTTGGAACGAGCTCCTGTAAGTTCTTCAGTTGAAACCTTTTTGTAGCAAAAAAAAAACATTTATCCACTTGAATCTTCAGCATGGAATGGATTTTGTTACTTTTAACTTCGATTATTTTTCCCTTCTAGCTTCTATTATTTCATCACACTTCCAAGTGCATTTTTATATATCAGTTTCCATATTAACATTTATTGTTGTTATTATTTTTGTATTCATCCTATAGAAGGAAAATTTGTACTCCCTCTTGTCCCTGTCAAAAGGAAAATTTGAACAGGGACATAGGTTAAGAATTTGCAAATTGACAGATCCAGAAGAGAAATGACATGAATTCCTCCTCCTATTCAATTAATTTGGCTGGAAAACTGAGAGTTGAAAGTATGTTTGGGTGTTATGCACAAATCCTTAGGACACAACAAAATAAACAAGGGAAAAAGAGGGTAACAAGCATCTAAATTAGGCACAAGCCTTATAATTTAGGATTAAAAAGAAAAACCAATACAATTTTGAAATTGGCAAAACAGAATAATTATATACCTAAACAAAAGAATGTGCTATGCATTACTTCAAATGGATTAACTAGTTGCACAATACTATAGCTAATGCATCTTTTCTGTTTAGTAAGTGAAAATAAAAGAAATGCTTGAAAATTAAAGTACAAAAATGGAAGGTTAAGATAATTATAAAGCATATTACGTTATGATTCACTATCTTATTTGATACCTCCTGCCGAAACATAATAAAAGAAACACGAGTAATAATCTAGTAGATTTATTGATCAATTCAACCGTTCATCCCAAATATATAAAAAAGGACAATTTTCCTTAGCATACAGGTGATGAACTATCAATAACTCAAAGAATAGAATGCATTTTAATCCTATAAAGAATACTCGGTACAAATAACCTCTCTGTAGTCAATACACATGCTTCAGGCCAATAGGAAGAAGTACCTCAGATGGGTGTGCAATGAGAAAGAATCCGACAGTAGGTGCAAACTCATTCCCATGCCTAAAAGTGTTCAGATTTTGGACAAATGGTCAGTGCACTATATCATTCTCTATTAAATGAAGACATGGCATTACAGATAAGGACATCAGAACACATTGCAAATGGAAGTAAACCAAATGGAGCATGCACACAAATACTCAACCATTTCACACAGCGCCAAACAGTTTTAAGAATGTTAAAAGGCTGGATGAAAACAATCAAGAGAAAGCGAAAGTGGTAGTAACTTGGTAGCTAACTTCGAGATGTCAAACTGCAAACCTAAGTATAACAGCATGAACACTAGACTGCATGGTTTATATTAGCAATGATTGTATCAGCACATCTACCTACACTAAGAAAAACACTAAAGACAGCTATGATACAAATCAGAGAGCATCCTATTGAAGTCAAATGTTGAGAGAATCACACTTTGTGGTGCTACGTCAATTAGCGATTTCACAAAAAAACATCCAAATTATTGCTAAGAAGTAAGGGATTTCAGCAGGATAGGCATGTAGACACATAAGCATAGTAGTATTGTCAATCTAACATACTCTTGCAAGTGAATAAAATAAGTTTCTAAACAGGCCATTTGACATTGCTAACCACCTTGCAAGTGAATCATACATATTCAAATTAGATTGTTATATGGCAATAAAATAAGCTCATATTTATCAAGTGCAAGCAGTCGGTTCTTACTACTGATTTTACAGTTTACAGTCCTATCAATAATGCCAACTTTCAATGCAATTCAGAGGCAAGGATAATGCTTGTTTAGTTCACAGTTTGAGCAGATATCAGTCAAGAAAATTATTGTTGTCTTTGCCAACCTCTAAGGATTTTATAAAATGTACTCAGATCATGAAACCTACTCTTAATGATGTTCCAGATCTATATGATTGGCTATACCTCGCCGGAACCCTAGATCCAGGAGGAGGAGGACCTACCTCGTCGGGGTCACCGCGCCACTGGATCCGCTCCGCTGCCACGCCAGGGTTGCCGCACTAGGGCCCGTCTATGCCAGCGCTGCCGCACCTAGGGTCACTGTGCCGGGCCACCGCGCCAAGGGCCTCCCGCCGTCATCCATGGCGCGTCCGTGCCGCCACGCCGCCGGGAAAGGAGGGGGCGTCGGATCGAGGAGAGGGCATCGGACACGGAGAGTGGGGGGCACTGGGAAGGAGGGGCCTCCGTGGAAGGAGGGGCCGCCCGGGAAAGGAGGGGGCTCGGATCGCGCCGCCATGCCACCGGGGAAAGAGAAGGCGCGGATCGAGGAGAAGGCGTCGGATCCAGGGGGCGGCGGATCCGGTGAGGGGGGGGGCCGAGGAAGGAGGGGGCACGGGGAAAGGAGGGGCTACCGGGGAAAGGAGGGGTGGCGGATCCGGTGAGGGGGCTGGCCGCTGGGGAAGGAGGGTCCACTGGGAAAGGAGGAGCGGTCGGGAGAGGAGGAGAGGAGGCGTCCGGGAGAGGAGGAAAGGAGGAGCGGCGGGAGGAGAGGGGCGCTGGGGCCGGGAGGAGAGGGGCGCTGGGGGCCGGGAGGAGAGGGGAAGAGGGCGGGCCAAGGAGGGGAGGCGCTGGGGCCGGGAGGATAGGGGCGCCCAGCCAGAGGAGGGGCGCTGGGGCCGGGAGGAGAGGGGGGGGGCGTTGGTGGCCGGGAGGAGAGGGGAAGAGGGGCGCTGAAGCGGAGTGTTTGGGGGCGGCGGTTGGCGGGTTAGGGTTAGCACTTCTTGTTTTTTATTTATTTTATTAATAACATTTTTCTGTGTGTGCATATATTTTTTCTGTGCATTTTTAAAAAACCGACAGAATAAATTGCATTTTTCTGTGAGTTCTTATTTTTCCGTGTGACTATTGTCACGCACTGAAAAATCATATAATTATTATGTGGGTTTTCGTATTTTTCTGTCGGGATATTTTGAAACCGACAGAATAATAGTAATTTTTCTGTGCGTACCGAAAAAAACACATAGAAAAATTCGTCACCCACAGAAATATTCGAGTTTCTAGTAGTGTCTTGTAGAATAGGCCGGTGAAACTGTCCGGTCCCGGAAACTTGTCATTCGGCAGATTAGCAATGACTGACCGAACTTCCTCCTCGGTGAACAGGTGCTCGAGCTCTGGCCTTGCTATTTGCGGCACCCCCAAGGTCTGCAGATCGAATCTTCTTGAACGCTCAAAGTTTGCTCCAAGGACGCTGATGTAATAATCGTAGAGAGCATCGGCCATCGTTGTGTTGCTGACAACATTATTATTCTGTCTCATCCTCTTATTTGTTTGTTTGTTTGGGTATGCTGACACTAATACATATTCACCGGATGGAGAGGCGCGCTATATATCAAGGCCGTGTGTGTGGCTTGTTCAGAGTTAGTATTGTTCATAAGTGGGTGGCGCCACATTTATCCTGGCATTGATATGCGTTTTGTTTTATTGATTGGTAGACAACTGATTTATACTTATTTTATGAGATAGTTTTGCGGTGTTTAAAAAAATATATGAGGTTCGTTTGGCCTAATCTATTGGGCCCAATTATAAGCCCACTCGCTCACGCTCCCTGATCGCCTTTGATAGGACTGTTTGTTTAAGCTGCGTCGGTGGCCTACAGCGCGAGCGCTTGTACGACGAGATCAAGCTCCACTCATGCCGATGCCGTTAACACCAGGGGCCATTAATTCCAGATCTGGATCGTCTTTACAAACCCTGCAGGTTTATTCCAATCGCCTGTGGCAGTACCAAATCTGAGGACAGCGACGGCGATACAGAATACGATCTGGGGACAGCGGATGATGTATATGAGGACGCTACAGAATCAAATAGCAGCCACCGTGATGGTGCCATATACAAGAACAAGGGTCTACAGGAAAATTTCTTCGTCGGCGATCTTACCGATCGTAACGAGACCCGGTCAGAGGCAATGCGGTTCTCCAAGCACCCAGATGTGTACAGCCGTGCGCAATTCATGTTCCAGTTTTTCTCGGTGCTGCTGTCCAAGAGTCCTGCGGCTATCAGCAACAATGGCGGCTCGATATGATACAGCTCTACGGATACATCGCGGAGCGGGACGAGATAGACGGCATGCTCAACTACATTGTGAATTACAGCAGGGATAGCCCCGTCGTCGTGCGGCAGGCTAGGGCTCCCTCATTCAGATGACCGGCCTAAAGAGAGGCATCAAGATGGGTTCTGACGTTCTGATAGAGTTCGACATGAGGGTTAAGACGGGGGAGCGTGAGGACGACGATCTCGAACTGGTCGATGGGGCATTAGTATGCTCATGCCCTCCTTAAATACCATGGCAAACAACGGGTTATCGGCCGCTCTGGTGGCGCAGTTGACATGACTTTGGCAGTTGTTGGGTACGCGATGGAGGCCACGATAGAAGTTGTTATATCACAAGTAGTACGGAGTGGTTTAAGTTTGTCTCTAAGTTCCTTTGTTGATGTCGTTGATGAAGAGATCCAGCTTTTTAGTGGTCTGGTTGCTCGGCCGGGGGCTCTAAGAAGGTTCGTGGTTGCTGTCCCATTCAGAACTACGATGGTTTTGGATTTCATTGTTGGTAGCGATGTGGGGGAACATGGGGCATATGGAACCGAAACTCGACAAATCAAGTTTGAAGCTAAGCTAAATGGATGTGCCAGGAGACAGATAAAGCTCAAGGCTGCTACTATATCCGTGAAGGTGGCCTGGTCCTGTATTTGATGACTTACCTGTCGCGCCTCAGCTTCATAATAAATTTGCTTTTGTGGATCTATAATTTATTACATAAACAGCTTTAATTTTGTGCTGGGTCTGAGTACTGTTTAGCCTGAAATGTATTTCAGTGAAGTCTTCATGTGCTTCACAGCACCCAGTTATTAATTAACTTGGTTATGTCAATTGAAACTATTGTCAGCCGCCCGTGCACCCAGATCGCCACGACGACCTCTAGCACTTCCCGACGCTGATTATCGGCGACCTTTGGTGATTTTGCCCTCTTGATTTCTTTCTTCCCCTCCTGATTAGTCACCTGTTGCTTCATTTCTTCATTTTTTTGAAACTCATATATATTAATAAAATATAAAAAACGACAGAGTTCAGAGTTTCAGAGAGACGACCGAATCCCGAATTACATAAAAACAGCCACCTTGTAACTAGGCATAAGACTTTAACGGCTCTTAAGGGAAGCATCCAGAGAGTAGATCATAACAATATAATTATGGTGCTCTCAGTCATGTTCAAGTTTCAGGCACTGCATATTTACCCTCTACTGGTTATCTTGTAGACCAAAGGAAACTTTGGCCATGCTTATCTTGTAGACGAAAGGACACCAGACTACCGGATTATAGTTGAAACATAGTGCACCTTGGTTGCCAACTCTAGATATGCAGAACCATGTGTGGCATATCTCTACCGGAAAATTGAGCCCACCAACAGATAAACAGAGATATCAATTGTTCTACCAGAGTACAGTTATGGCTGCTACCAGAAGATGACAAAGCAACAATCAGCCAGGACTATCTGACTTGGGAAATCCTGCTGGGTATCTTATTACTGCATGCAATTTGTATATCACAGTTATGTCAGTTTATCTAGCACCTTTAATGGAGTTCATGGTAGTTTCTTTGTCTTGGGAACATAGTAGTACAAGTAGGGCTCTAACCCTTGGAGCTGTTTTTGTAAAGGAAGATCCAAGCTTATTTGGCAATATTTGTTTTGTATTTCCTCTTACATTTGTTGGCACTAGTACTCAAAATCCTAACAGGTCGTATAATGGGCATCTCAATATGTCATCTTGTTGTCCACAGAACATGTTTGTTAGAGAAGTTGTATGCTAGCTCATTTAGTGATTGAGATAATCCTCTTCAGCACCCTAAAGTTCCTTGACAGATATTTACCAATTGTGCAGTAATATTTGCCACGCGAGTAAACAGATTCTGTCCGCCAGCTAGTTGTTGGGAGAGAACTGAAAAGCCCATGCCGTCTTGCTCTGCGAGACGCTTGACCGTTTCATCCCAGAGATCAGCTTGGTAATGGGGGTGCATGCATTGTGCAACCACGTTTAGTATGTGTGGGAAGTGGATAGCTCTATGGCCAGATGAAACTGCTACCACATTGTTATCGTTAACAGCAGGACAGATGGAACTTTGGAAGAATTGTATATATGGGTAGGACCAATGAATGAATAATACTAGTAAACAACAGCAGTACAGCACTACGCAGTTTCGAACATTAAGAGATTGGAGTACCTTATCCTTATGTTGCTAGTTTCAGCATCAGAGCTAATGTCTGCGGCACTTGCAGTGTCCTCCACCAAAGCAGTGGCGCTTCCGGATGTTGGCCACCGGCCATATGGCGCCCACTGGATAGTGCCCTCAACCAAATCAGTGCCACATGCTGATTGGCCACTGGACATATGGTGCCGACTGGATAACCATTCTCAAACTCCTGAACACTCTAACTAGGCTCTTTTAAGGCCGATTGTGATCCGGAGAGACCTGCCAGCGGCCAGAATGTTGATAAAGTGTTGGCACCAAGCGTAAAATAGTTTCAACGGATATACATGATCAGGAGTGGCAGCACTCTCTTTTAAACCAGCATGTGCCTCTTTCTCGATGTCTCAAATTCCTATGCAGTGCCTCATGTTTTTCTTCTTTTCCAGTTCTCTCATCAACTGACACTGATATGTTCACGAAAAGGACAGACCCTATCAAGGTGGTATCACTACTGGAAACTCGAATTGCCCTATGGATATGTCTCAAATTGTGATTATTCTGTCGGTTCCAAAATATCTTGACAGAAAAATACGAAAACTCACAGAATAATTGTATAATTTTTCTGTGCGTGATAATACACACACGGAAAAAATCAGCACTCACAGAAAAATGCACAGAAAAATATATGCACGCACAGGAAAAATATTATTATTCTGTCAGTTAATTTAAAACGCACAGAAAAACATACACATGCACGGAAAAATTCAAACAACCACTAGGATTTGGCGTTCGCGCTCTCCGTTTCGGCGTTCGCGCTTTCCATTTCGGCGTTCGCCGCGTTCTCGTGAAAAGAAAATACTTTAATTAATAAAATAAATAGAAAAACAAAGCAGGTCTAACCCTAACCCTCCGGCCGCCGCCTCCAAACACCCTCGCACGTACGTACTCGCGGACTCGCCCGCTCGGCTCCTCTTGCACGCACGCACACGCTGCGCCGCTGCCGCAGCTACACATGCACGCCTGCCCCGCCGCCGAGCAGCTCCGCACCCATGCTGTCCGCCGCAACCAGGTCGGCAGCCTCTAGATCCGCGCCTCCGTAAGCTCCCCGCCGGCCGCCGCCCACCGATTCAGCGCCCTCGCTCTCCCCAGCCCGCCGGCGGCCGCGCCCCCTCCGCCACCGATTCAGCGCCCTCCCTCTCCCCAATCCGCCAGCCGTTGGGCGCTAGCCGTTGGGTGCCAGCTGCTGACCGTGGATGCTCCAAGGCGCGTCCCTAGGCCCTCTGCCGGCTGTACAGGGTCGCGGGACCTTCCCCTCCACTGCTCGTCCTCTCCCTGTCGGTCTCCCTCGCCCCTGCTCTTCCATCCTCCAGATCTGGCCACCAGTGCACTGCACTTCGGTCAAGGTACACTTCTCTCTTCATTGATTCTATTTTTTGTATGAGATGCCGGTTGATCTGAGTGTCCACTTGTATGAATTTTCAGTTGAAGTCTGCTTCCCTCAAGATTTGGTCACCGGTGCTGTCTGCTTCAAATCTGAATCAAGTTTTCAGGTTATCTGTTTCTCCCCTAAAAATGTATGGATAAGTAAAGCATGTTTTTCTTGTCTATTTAGAGTATCTATGATTCTTATTGATATTTTCATGACATGTACCTATTCAGTACCTATAGGCAGCATATCAGCCATAGTGGCCTCACTAATAGCATGAAAAAAAATTTACTGGAAATTCTAATCTCATGTCCCTGGTGTACTGCAGTAAAGATTTTGGGCTAAGCAAGGACCGAAGGTTCCTATTGGAGGTAGACAGTGAAGAGTTGTTGAGTACTTGTGAGACTCAAGGTACACTTTTTTCTTCACTAGTTTTATTTGTTGTATGACGATGTTGTTATTCTACATTTTATTTGTGTGCCCACTTGTCTGAGTTTGGAATGTCTGTCCTTACACCCAAAAATAATTGAGCTTCCTTTGTTGTGATATCTAATATATTAATATTTGAAACAGAACTAGTTAATATGTCAAACCGAACATGGATGTATAATGGTTGGTAACGTGGCAAAGCTCCCTCAATCGAATGGATTGATGGAACCAATGAATTCTTGAATAGTGCATGTTCAATTTCTGGTGTAGTTGAAAATGATACTATTAAGTGTCCTTGTGCACAATGTCGGAACTACTTTATGCATATAAGATATACTATAGAGATGCATTTGTGTAGGCATGGTTTTAAGGAAGGCTACGAAACTTGGATTGAGCATGGTGAGGGGCTGATTTCACATGATGGATATGATGTTGTGGGAAATAGAGAGGGCACTGATGAAGTTGATCAGATGGATCAAATATTGGTTGATCTTGCTGGGCACCATCCACCTATACTGGATGCTGAACCAACAACATATGCCAAAGTCTTTTATAGGATAGTTGCTAGTGCAGATGAGTTGGTGCTACATTTCTATATAATTATTGTATCCAATTTGCTACATGGGTAAGTGTATTTATTCTGTCGGTGGTCTGTTAACGCCCTTTTTCTGTGCGTTCACCTTTAACTGACAGAAAAATACAATTTTCCTGTGAGTGCACCTCTGCAACTCTGACGGGACAAACGCATAGAAAAAAATCATTTTTTTGTTGGTTTTTCTTTTTTCTGTGAGGATTAACACACGAAAAAATTATTTTTAATTTGGGCGAACGCAATTTTTCTGTGCGTGTGAGACCCACAGAAAAATTCTATTTCTGTACGTTATTTTCTGACGGTACACGGGCTTGAGTTTCTCCGAGAAAAAACTCACGGACTCTCTCGCCCGACCTCCACCACCGCTGCATCGATGGGGGCGCCATCACCATTGTGGCTGCCGCCCCCAACGCCGTGGCTGCCATCCCCACCGCTGCAGCCATCCTCGTCGCCGCAGCTGCTGTCCTCGCTGCCGCCGCGGCCATCCTCACCGAGAGGGAATCCATCCCTGACGCGCGGTTGTCCGGGCTGCTGCCTTGCTGCACACAGATCTGCTCCCTCACGTCCGGTAAGCCTCTCCGCTCCGCTCTCCTTGTGGCACTGCTGATTCCCAAATCCCAAATATCCTCTCTGCTCCGCTCTGCTCTCCTCAAACCAGCTACCCCCGCAATATTGTGAAGTTATTGTGAATTATGTGCTGATAGAGGGAGCCACTGTTGCTGCTAAGAGAGGGAGCCGCCGCCACTGTTGAGAGAGGGAGGCGGGTGAGGGAGCTGTAGGTACAACTCTCACCACTGTGGGAGGGGCATGGTGAGGGAGGAAGGGAGTGAGATAGAGATAGTCGGGTGGGTAGATGGTGGATGGAGAAGGACCAAGTGAGAGAGAGAGAGAGAGGAGAGATAGTTTCTGACAGCGAACCTACGAAAAAATTTAATTTTTCTGGCATTTTATTTCTGTGGGTTATTTTCTGACGGTACACCGTCAGAAAAATATTTTTCCGTGGGTATTGGCATTTTTCCGTGGGTTTTTGCACACACAGAAAAATTCGAGTTTCCAGTAG